CACTGAAGTAAACTTTATCTCATGAGTCATTTCGAGCAAACAGAGCCAAATTCTAAATCCTGACCTGAGTACTTTGCATTATCCAGAAATGTCTGCAGTGTGAAGAAAGTATATGGAATGTGAGGGAACAGCTGATGCAGCAACAAATCTAGCTGGTGGATGGTGGTTGTTCTGACAATGATGGTTACAGTAGAGGATGGCAGGATGGGGCAGAGGAGTTTACCCCATCTCCTGGCAACAAAGTTGCATTAGCAGCACCAAAGTGGCTTCCCAAGGGCGCACGCCTGGCAATGTGTAGGGAGGTCCTGATAGGTGTGACGTACATATGAGAGTGCTGGAGATGAAATAGTTAAACAGGTTACCCAATCAGGACCAAGGGGGGTGGAGTCAGAGGGACTATAAAACCAGCCCTGGGAGGGGCAAAGGGAGGAGTTCGTTGGGAGTTGGGTGGTTGGTTGGAGTGGGAGTGAATTGGGATAGAGTCTGTGGGTAGGTTGAGTTAGTGTAGTGAAATAAGCTGAGTCAGGAAATGTTAGGAGCTAGGAAGACAAGTAAATATCTGAGAGGTGGTTTAGTGAGTGATAGCAGGTAGCAGAAGTTATAGGCACCCCATGATTGTAATGGACCGATACTGTTTATGAAACCACACGGTTATTAAACTGCAATAAATAAACAGAAGTTTATGTTCCAATTTAACCCTGACTGGACTCAGTATTGTACCAGGTAGGGCCTGGGTGGTGGCAGCGAGAAATAAAGTGGTGGCACAGGGATCAATAGACAGTGAAACGTCCGGGGACCCCTTGTGATCGCCACAATAGGCACCACCCAACTGTCTTAGGAACTGCACTCCAGATTTGTGTAGGGTTTACTCCTTAGCCTTTTCTTCCCACGAAGGTATCTCACAAGGCAGCGGAGGTTTAGGATCAGAGTTTTCCTTCCCCTAGATGGACTGCCTTCCCAGGCTGATGAGCCCCATCTGCCCCTCACTTCCCTCTACAGCACGTGCAGAAATCACTTTTTGACCGTTGGACCCACTATTGGTCTTGTCTGCTCAGTCCACCGGAGCCTGTCGTGTCCGACTCTTCGTGACCCCATGGACCAGAGCACGCCAGGCACTTCTGTCCTCCACTGCCTCCCGCAGTTTGGTCAAACTCACGCTGGTAGCTTCGAGAACACTGTCCAACCATCTCGTCCTCTGTCATCCCCTTCTCCTTGTGCCCTCCATCTTTCCCAACATCAGGGTCTTTTCCAGGGAGTCTTCTCTTCTCATGAGGTGGCCAAAGTATTGGAGCCTCAGCTTCACGATCTGTCCTTCCAGTGAGCACTCAGGGCTGATTTCCTTCAGAATGGACTCTCAAGAGTCTCCTCCAGCACTAAAATTCAAAAGCATCAATTCTTTGACGATCAGCCTTCTTTATGGTCCAGCTTTCACTTCCATACATCACTACTGGGAAAACCATAGCTTTATCTATACGGACCTTTGTTGGCAAGGTGATGTCTCTGCTTTTTAAGATGCTGTCTAGGTTTGTTAGAGGTACTTTACTAGAGGTACTACCCCTTCCCTAACACCCACCCACACACCCCCACTGCTATAATAGGACTAAGAAAAACCAACAGTGTTAGTGTCAATATGATGCTTTTAGATGGTTTGCATATATATTCAGAGACAAATTATTTCTAGGTGTTAGATGCTAGGCATAAGCTACTGGGTCTTGCCACTGCCCACATCACCACCCAGGAACATCCCGATGCCCACTTTCAGAAACAGAATCCTGGACTAGGTAGAACTTAGTCTGATTGATGAAGATGCTGTCATATTCCTCTTTCTTTATACCAAAGAAGGACTTGCTCTGCAACGAAGTGTCATGTGAAAATAAGATGAATATGAACAGAAGCCCACAGCAATGAATTGACATTGTTTCAGAAGAGTAAGAGAGAGATGGCGTAAATAACAAATGTGCCCTTGGAGAATAGCTTGATAAATGAAAAGAAGGAACAAATATGGTGTAACATGTCAGCGGGGGGGGGGGGAGAGGGAAAATGTATACATCAAAAGAAAGACAGGGAAATGAAGGAACTTTGAAAGAGAAATAAATTGCAGGTTGACATGCTGAAAGAATTTGAAAGGGACAAGTAAAAAAAAAAAAGAAATGGAAAACTCAATTTAAAAAACGGGGGGAGGAGCAGGGCCAGGTAATGTGCATTGTGTCCTGGAGGCAGACATATGTCAGGGACTACAATAGGCGCCAGCTCTGGTGGCTGGATTATCAATGGGTAATGGAAGCGGGAGACACAAGAAAAGGACAACATGATAAGCATAATTCATTTCATCAGAACAATAGTCCGAGACTGATTTTGGAAGAGAGAATGTTTGAGAAATACACCGAATGACAGGTGGATAATGCAACTGGCAGTAGTTAGAGTAGGGGAAAGGCTCCCCTCTCTTTCCTGCCAGACTCCCAAGTATGCATTTCCCACCAGTGACGACGTAGCCTGCCAGGTGGATGAGAACATCTAAGATGGAGATAATGCAAAAACCTCCAAGGGTGTTTCTGCCTTCAATATCCCCCTGTGATGCTCTCATGAAAGCTTCCTGATTTCTCTCTTTCCGCTGTCTCGTTGGCCTTCTATCCAGTTTGTTTGTGTTTTTTTAACATGATGAGGAAGAAAGTTAATCTCATTCCCAATTCACACTTACTGAAACAATATGAAAGCCAAAATGCTGCTGTCCTTTGAAATTCTCACTTCTCCAGATTTCGCCGTGTGTTTGTGTGTGCAGTTTTCCAACCCAAAAGTCTGTGGGAAATGGATATAACGAAGCATGCCTAAAGAATGCCTATTAGTGGAAGTGAAATTGCTTGCAAAAATGCATAGGCAAAATTGTATATAAAATGTGTATATTATGAGAAATGCAGACTATAATGATGAATTTTAAAAACAAACTGCAAACTGGTGCAGAAAGATTGGGATTAGGGGGAAATAATCTGCAAAAAAGGTGCACATTAGGGGAAATTGCCTACCAAAAAAGTGTGGTGTGTCTGTCAGTGGCGTAGCGTGGGGGTGCAGGGGGGGCCGGCCGCACCGGGCGCAACATCTGGGGGGGCGCACTCGCACTCGCAGCTTTCTGCCCCTACCTGGCTCACTCACTCTCTCTCACTGCAGTGCTGGCTGTGCGAATCCGATACGAGCCGTTGGGTCGCCGCCCACTGTGGAGGGGGTGGGTGCCAGGCATGCGGTGCGGAGAGAGAGCGAGGGACTATCTGGGGGACGGACAGTGCAGCGGCCGCCCAGCGCAGCGCTGAGCGCGGGAGAGAACCACAGCAGACCAGACCAGACCAGGCAGCAGCAAGAAGAAGCTGGCAGCGGCGGCAGGTTAGGGGTTAGGGGGCGCAAATTACTTGCCTTGCCCCGGGTGCTGACAACCCACGCTACGCCGCTGGTGTCTGTCAGGAGAAATTCACTTTAAAATGCTGATGAATTTCCAGGAGGAAACAAAATAAAAGATGTGTAAGGTACGGGAAAGTGAATTTAGGATTGGAAAAAATGAGAAACTTGGAGAACCCCAAATTGGCAGACCCAGCCATTTCTAGTTAGAAGGAATGATTATGTAATATGCAGCCAATGAAATAAATTTTCCCTCCCCAGCCATTTCACAAAACAGTGTTTCAAGAGATGGCCAAAAGCGCCGTCTTTCCACAAAAGGCTGCTAACTACCAACTGTGTTTTTACATTGTAGCTCCTTCTCCCTTGCAGTCAAAATACCATTAACAGGAGATCTGAAAGGAAAGGCACATCTGCTATCCTTTGAGGGACTCAGACAGTTGGCTCTGCTCCTAAATCGTGAACAAAGTGTCCAGAGCTCACATGGCAACACTTTGCTGCATACAATGAATCTATTTAGGTTATATTATATTACTAAAGCCGGGGAACAGAGGGAACGACTAAAGAGTGCGAGAGCATCTGTTTAGGAACTCTACTTCATGCTCTTTCCCTGTCTTCTGCCGTAGTTTGCCTCTCATACATTAGCTCCATCCATCACCCGAGGCCAGTGCTTTGGTTCCTGGAAGCGGTACAAACATGTGGAAGTGCTGTAGATAAAAATGCAATGTCTGGAGATTAACTTTGCTTCCTGTTTTTACTAAGTCTAACACTGAACAGTCTGCGGGAGAGAGCAGTGTCGAGCAAACAGGAACGTTCCATTTGAAACCAGGGCTGTTCTCGGTGGCTGCAGTTCACAACAGACTTTCCTCCGCAATGGTGGCGATGAAAGGTTCAGTGGAACTACTCGAGAGCAAGCATTGTGTGTGTGTGATTTGAAGTCAGCAGGCTGTGATAAACAGACTGGCGAAGGGGGAAGGAGCAGGGAAACAAGGCACCAGATCTTTATTTGATCACTGTAGGGCTCCTTCTGAAGACCTTAAAAACAAGTACCGTATTTTTTGCTCTATAAGACTCACTTTTTCTCTCCTAAAAATTAAGGGGAAATGTGTGTGCGTCTTATGGAGTGAATGCAGGCTGCGCAGCTATCCCAGAAGCCAGAACAGCAAGAGGGATTGCTGCTTTCACTGCGCAGCGATCCCTCTTGCTGTTCTGGCTTCTGAGATTCAGATTTTCCCCCCCTTGTTTTCCTCCTCCAAAAACTAGGTGCGTCTTGTGGTCTGGTGCGTCCTATAGAGCAAAAAATACGGTATGTATCACTGCCCCAGTGGAGGATTGGCTATTAGGGCAAGTGGGGGCAATGCCCCACCACCTCCAGGCATTCCTCAGCTCCCTGGCTTGGCTGCCTTGATGCTCTATACTGGCCCTCCTGTTGTTTTGAGATAATTCGGGGTGGCAGCATCCAAAAAAGAAGATGGAAAAAGTTCTAAATCTTCCTCTACCAGTACACCGTGTTTTCTATGTCAAGACCTTTGGTTAAGGAAAACGTCTGGTAGAATAATAGAATCATAGAGTTGGAAAGAACCCTAAGGATCATCTAGTGCAGCCCTCTGCAATGCAACTGTCCCTTACAGGGATCGAACCTGCAACCTTGCCATTATCAACACCACACTCTAACCAACTGAGCTATCCAGTATCTGAAGTGCACTTTTCTTTTGCATTTAAAACTGGGAAGTACACTCAGATTACTTAACGCCTCTGTCTTATTAGGATTAAGCATATGGGATCCTCTTATTAGAGGGTCCTGGTTGCGCGTGGGCCCCTGGGACTTACCCCAAAGGGGTTAATTATTGGGGAAGTAGCTAAGAGCCCTGGCCATAGCCCCTGGATCACACCAGACTGTCTTAGCCAATCCCTGGAGGCTGGCGTGATCCCAGGGGGCTTAAATACGGCAGCGTGGTGCAAGGAGGGGCACTTGCGTCGCATTGCCAGACACCCGCCCTCCCTCCCTAGAATTAGGTAGTTTCGCTTGGCCTTGCTTTGGTTTGGGTCGCCTGTTTTGGAACAGGGGCTGGGTAGGATTTTTTTCCAATTGTCTTTAGCCACTTGGTTTTTGCCTACCCCTTAGCAATCGTCACAACTTGTAAGGTGGCGGTTAGGCATTGGCTCAGTTGGATTGGGGGGAGGGGAGGTGTGGCCTGCCCCCTCCAGGAACTGGGTATTCTGTTAAAGGAATCTGGGGGTCCTGGATCTTGTCCGAAGCCCGGTTGAGGGGCTAGGGCCATGCCAGGACCACAGGAACCCCGGGGTGAGCTTCGGTTGGTCCACATCGACGTTACTCCCTCGTTTGGTTTACCCCATTGGACTACCACTCAGACCGGTGGAGTCAGTTATAGTTGGAAGTCAATGCCTAAGCCAATACCACACACGTGATTGTAATTCAATAAAGTTGTGGACAAAATTTGCCCCAAAACTTAAACTAAAATATGTGTCTGTGTAAAGTTATTTTTGGAGGGTGGGTCCTGGGGGCCTCAAGGTGCAACAGTTTATTTGCCCACATCCAGGCCTTTAGTCCTTCCAAGCCCCGGTCCAGCAACCTGAACTTCTTCTTCTGATCCAGATACAATGGACAGATTTATCCAGGGAAGTCATTTGCATGTTGATGACACCTCAACCCACATCTCCTGATGAACAGCTCACAGCAACTTCAAAGGGAGAAATCTAAGTGCTGGACCTTAGACATGTGTTGAACAATATGACCTCCAAGGTGCTGCCACTCTACGATGTCCTCCTTTGATGACAGTTCTTGGAGCGGATGTTTAAGTATTCTCCCTTTTGTTGTGTAAAAATATGAACTCTGGTTGGGATCCAGGGGACAATTTAGAGTTCCCAAACCAAAGTTTTGTATGAGCAGAAGGAGAACTTAGCTTTCTATATCCAGCCATCGCAATGCCTTCACTGCAAACACACAGACACAGTTCCTCTTTGCTGGTTCGTCTCCAACAGTGTGGGAATAGAGGCAATGGATTTCAGTTTTTTAAAATGAAGAGGATGGGTAGATAAACGGGTTTTATTGCTCTTAAAGGATTCCTGTTTTTCTTTCCAAGCGCTCAACAATAATTCAAACTATATATCTTGTTCCCATCTGCAACATTTAAAATAGCATGGGAAATAGTTGCATCATGCTGTATCCTGAATCACACACATCTGAAGGACTCTCATAACTCACTAAAGCTTCTTTCATCATGTGTTTTTCCAGCTATTAGCACTTCCACATGTCTGCTGACAGAAGCAAGACGACAGAAAAAGCAAATGCTCTCCCTGCATTGATGTGTAATAGAAAACGTTGTATAAAGGGGTGGCTGAATTAAACATCAAGGTCTGTCGGCTATAGTGCATGGCTCCTGGGAAAATGGGAGAATCCTGCATGAGCAAAAATATCAGAAGGTCAATCCCCACATCCACCTTTGTAGCTGGGCTCTCTTTATCCGCCTGTTCAGGCATTATAGTTCTTGTGTAGAGCAACATGGAAGCAGGGAGAAGGACCATGCTGAGTGGTCACATCTCCAGGTGTCCACTACCCTACTTGCATGGAACCCTTCAGGTGTGTAGCTTCAAGACTTTCTCCTTGGAGATAGTTGCACTGTGTGTTGCAGTTTAGCATGCTGTCACTCAGTGCACCGTTGGAAGATACACGGATGGATGAAAATCCGTGGGCTACATTCCTGGCCAATAAGTCAGATGACACATCTGCCATAGGCATACTCCCATCTGATCATTCCTTTCTCCTCACTGTTGGCAGTGTTGCAAACAAACAGAAAATAAATGCAGCCTCTTTCCTTCCACCATGATCCTTTAGGTAACCATACAATGCAACAATGAGGTCTAGCAGCATTGATGTAATTAAGAACGTCAACCATGTGTTCTTCTTCCCCTAATTTCATTGATAACAAAGTCTGCATAACTTGAAGACGAGCACAGTGCACCACTTGTCTATAGTGGTAATCTGCCAGACTCTGGTCAAAGAGTTGTCTGGCCACTTGCTTCCTGCCTTATTGGAAATGCAAAAACACACACACACAAAACCCCACAAAATAAGGCGGGAGGCTTGCCAACTGTCTGACAAACAACTCTCCATGGTTCCTGGACTGCAAACAGCTTTACAGATTCATAGAATGTGACAGTCTGAAGTGAGGAGATTAGTCAACTCATGCAGGTTCACTGGAAGCACCCTGGAAGATCAGAGACCTGAAACATATGGGGTGACTGTGAGTATGTTATAGAGTTGGGCAGGACAACCAACTTGATTATGGGGCTGGAGCAACTCTTCCATGAGGAAAGGTTACAACATTCGTGACTTTTTAGTTTTGAGAAAATGAAAATAAGAGGTGGCACGGCAGAACTGAAAATGCAGTGGTGGCCACCAACTTGGGCAACTTTAAATGAGGATTAGACAAATCCACTGCCGACTAATGCTGATGGCTGTGTTCTCCCTCCACTGTCAGAGGCAATATGCTTCTGAATACTAGTTGCTGGAAATTTCAGGAGGTGAGAATGCTATACAGTGGTACCTCGTGTTACAGACGCTTCAGGTTACAGACACTACAGGTTGCAGGCTCCGCTAACCCAGAAATAGTACCTCGGGTTAAGAACTTTGCTTCAGGATGAGAACAGAAATTGTGCTCCAGCGGCGTGGCGGCAGTGCAAGGCCCCATTAGCTAAAGTGGTGCTTCAGGTTAAGAACAGTTTCAGGTTAAGTATGGACCTCCAGAACGAATTAAGTACTTAACTCGAGGTACAACTGTAGACAGATAGCTTATTAATTTAACAGGAAGTGAATGAATTAAGTTCTTAACCCGAGGTACTACTGTAGTGTTCAGGTCCGTCATGCAGACTTCCCTTTGGGGCACCTGATTGGTCACTGTGAGAACAGGAAGTTGGACTGAACAGGAAGTTGACCTGATCCAGCAGACGCTTTTTATGTTCTTATGAGCTGGAGGGCAACAAAAACAATGATAAAGGAGGAACTATGAACTGGTGGCCCCTCATGTGTTTAACTAAGCCTAAATTTATACGTCTACTCAGTGCTATTTTTCTAGAAAAAGAGCTCACCACGACTTCTCCCTTGTCCTCTTAGAATGGCAGTGGTGCCCACCTGAGAGGTACTGGAGCTGAGCTCTGGTGAGCTCCGTCTGAAAGAAAGCACCTCGGCTATAGAGGGCTTACATGAGTGTTAGGGAAAAGAATATAGGCAAGGGGAGAAAACTGCTAGTGAAATGGTGCGTTGCAGCGGGGAGCTTAACAGTGATGGGAGGGGAAGACATTTTTCACGACTCTTGCCCACCATAGCGCCCTTGAAATATTTGCTGCCCAAGAAATCCCCTCTTCTGCGAAGAGTGTGAAGGCCTCTGTTTTGCGTCGTCTGATCTTCAGCCACTTCACTAAGAAAGTTGCTTTTGGGAGAAGATGCTGCAAAATTAGCAAGCCTGCACTTTTCCACATCTGGATGCATTCAGGAAGCCGCAGGTGGCTGACTGCTCAGATATTTCTGACTAGTTCAACAAAACTTCTAATAGAAACCACATGGTTTCACCCTGCAGCTTTTTAAAGTTCAGAGTGCTAACGCTGGGCAGCGTTCCATCCCTTTCTCTATTGTATTGGAGGAGAATAATTTATAGGGTGCTCCCATAGAAATTGCTTAATGAGAACTCTGTGCGCTTTCTGCGGGCAATCGGAAATTTATGGCCATTGTAGCCCCTCGAGGCAAATAAAAGGCCTCTATTAAGGGGGAAAGGAGCCTGGACAAAAGATCTCCATCACTGGCTCTCGTTTTATTATTTCTTTCAGGCACTTAACTTGCCTTATCCCCGGAGGTCTCACAAGGGACAGGAAAGGAAACAAACTTTAAAGAACAGCATTATAACTTAAAATGTTATAATGTCAGGAAAATATTCAGCGGGCTCCACCTTCTCCTTGTAAGATGATGTCAAGCAGAATATGAACCAAAGCTGCTCTTATGTAGAGGTGATTGGTGTGTGTTCAGGGCAAGAATTGCAAATTAACCATGTCCCAAAATACATCCCAGCCTTCAGAGTTCCTATTCCCTCTGTTCCATTGGCCCAGGAGAAATCTACGGCAGAAGTGTGCTTAGAACCCTTCCAGTGAGTTGTATATAACCTTGTTTAAATAAACATCCTATGTTACCATCATCTGTGTGGAGGCTTAATGAGTAGATGCAAGGGACAATATCTAAGCAAATGGAACAGTGGATATCACACCTGTGTTTTCCAGGCCACATGAGAATTTAAATCCCTTAATGGACCTGTGTAGGAGGGAAGCCAGCCAGCGACACACCTTCTTTTGCTTTTTGCTTGTTCTGTGTTGACAGCACAGTTACAATTATGGTGAATTCTAAAAAATAAAATATTTACAACACACTGTTTTTATTTATTTTTTAGCAACAACAATAACCTTGGATCTAACCGAGAGTGGGCATTTCCTTACTTCACTACTAATATCTCAAATGACACCTCTAGTGATTGTGTCTATTAAGTAAGTGTATCACTGGCTACATTTAACAGGCCTTTGATCACCTGGGAGAAGCAGTTTCCTTTGTTGTTGCCAGCATTACATCGAAGGCCTTTCAGTGTCACAGCTGGGCATCTTTATCATAAATCAAGAACGAGCTGGGC